CTGCGGTGGTGGAGCGCTTTTGTCCCTAGTGGTAATCCGCTCGCTATAAATGCCCCAAACCCTGGTATACGGTTTCAAGACAAGGATTATCACTACTTTTGAGAGTGAAAAATGTCGATAATGCCCAGCAGCCTGGTCTTTTGTTCGGAGTACAGTCTTTTGTTACAGGGTCCTGTTTCCTTTGTCCGAGTTCAGAGTTCAGAGACCCCGGCCACGCATATAAAGCATACGTCTCCGATTCCGGAGTCCCCGGCAGGAAGTGGTTAACTTCCTAACATGCAGCAATTTTGCATTTCCAAACCTTAAATGCTGTGCCTTTGACCGGCTTGTCTGTCACTTCTGTCCAGCGAGAGCTGGTTTTCTCTTTCTTTTCAACGACATAGCCTTCGATTTCTGCCCCTCCATCATTTTCAGGCTCTGCCCACTCCAGATCCACAAAGTCATTGTCATAGTCAACAACCTCCGGCACACCAGGTGCACCGGGCTCATCTGTGAAGCGCAACAACATGGAAACCCGTAAACTTGTGACTAATCGGGGCAGCTAAAAATGTAGTGAAATGTGACTTGAGAAGGTTTTCCAACTTTGGACTTTGTCTCCATCTTAGCCAACACCTACAATGCCAAAACCACTTGTCAACTTTCGATGTTTGAATTCTCTCGTAGCCAAAACTTTACAATTCCATCTTCATTTTACACCACATGCTGTTTCACTGAGCCAAATACTCCAAACTTAAAGTTGGGGGGAATCAGGAAAGATCTGAAAAACCTTGTTCCTATTTTACAGAGCTGTTAAGCAAAGAAATATTCTTTTGCACATTTCTGTAATGAACAAAAAGTTAGCTGAAAACCAATCATATGACAGTACAATCATTGGTTAGTAACCTCGTTTGGCAACCTCATTTGGCAAAGCAGTATTTTGCTGTCCTAAGCATATTTGCATACTTTGGAGGGCTATTAATATGTCCTACGGTCCAATGTCCACTGCTGCTCACCACAAAAGTGATGAGCAAGGAAAACATGTACGGGTTTTAAGTTTTCTGTTGATACTTTTCACCTATGGGCTACAGGTGGCTGAGGTATTTTACCGTATGGATTCTTTGCCAGGACAGTGTGTGGGGCCTCCAGATATTTGCTGACGCCGAAGCTCGTCTCAGCCGCAACGCGGAACATGTACTCTGTCTTTTCCTGAAGCTTGGTGACCTTAACAAAATGCAAGATTAACTGCAGTTTGATTTCACACTAAACAAGCTTATGATGTGTTTACAGTGGATAACACAAAGCAAATTACAGCTGCTACTAGAATTAGGTAGATGTCATTTTATAAACACTCCTTTAAACTCCTTTTACACTGTATTGCCACGAGTACTCCAAAGTTTCTCCAAACAAAATTTAATTGCAAAAGTTCTTTTAGGACCACTATTTATAAGAACAGTGTAAAAATGGATAGTTTTCTTTTTCTTGCTGGTAATTAAAGTACATGTAAAGATTACTGAAATGTACATTGGCAACTCATTGCAGACACTTGAGAAAGACTTTCCTTGTTAAAAAGTGGAAGACTGTTGCACTCGAGACCATCACAAGACCAGACACAAGACCAGACACAAGACCAGACACAAGACCAGGCACAAGTAACAGGGTGCAATGACAAAGGAATGCTTTTGTTGCAATTCATTTAAATAGCTTGTGACTTAATTCAGACTGGAGGTCCAGATTGGTCTTGTGCTGGTATTGTCTTTTTCCAGTATAGTTTCATTATCACGTGTTGCGCAGCGCCATGATCGAGATGGAATGGCACTCTATAAATCTTGCTATTATTATTATTACTGTGTGGTCTTGTGAAGGTTTTAAGTGGTCTCGACTACAACACTGGTGGGAGAAAGGCTCAGAAGAATGCTCCAGAAAAAACCCTAGAACATCAGGTAGAGACTGAATACTTACTTCACATGTCTGGCTGCTTGGGATTCAAATCCTGGTCACAACTGTCCAACCCATCTCTCCAAATTTAACTTGATAGAGTAAACCTTTTTCATACCTTGAGGGTTAAGTCTTTTGTGGTGTCGTTGACAACGGACCAACCGGTCCGGTTGATGTCCCTCTTCTCAATGACGTAGTTTGTGATTGGCTGGCCGCCATCATCTGCTGGTGCCTGCCAAGACAGCACAGCTGAGGTTGCAGTGACATCGCTGATTTCCATGGGGCCTTTTGGGGGACCAGGCTTATCTGGGGGCAAATAAAACAAAGAAAATTGGAAGCATGTACACATTGGTCAAACACTTGGAAACTTTGGTGGATATTGCATATGTAGACATAATGAAAGACACACTAAGCATTCTGATACCTCACCCACAGATTCTGTATCTTGATTGGCTGGAGCCAGTCACTAGGTATTCACTATCATTTACCGTGTACGGCAAAATGAACTATATGAGTAATAACCAAAGTATCAACTGAAAACAAGTTACACATAACAACCAGTAGTGTACAAATACAAGCATGCACACTGCATGTACAGAGTAGTGGCAAAAATAGAACGCTCTATGTATCACCTTGAGAGGCTAATTTTACTATTGCACTCCAAGCAGTCAATATTTGTATATCCTGCACCCTGTGCGGCCACTCTCGCTGCCCATCACATCAGTGCGAGTACTATATGGACAAACTGATTTCAAATGCTGCCAGTCGCACATAAAACAATGCATACACAAGATTAGTTCCTCTATGTATCACCTTGAGAGGCTAATTTTACTATTGCACTCCAAGCAGTCAATATTTGTATATCCTGCACCCTGTGCGGCCACTCTCGCTGCCCATCACATCAGTGCGAGTACTAGATGGACAAACTGATTTCAAATGCTGCCAGTCGCACATAAAACAATGCACACACAAGATTAGTTCCTTTATTCCATTTTTATCTAAAATTCCTGCACAACGTCCACACAGTTTTCCATAATGGAATACTGAATCTTTCTCTTCTAAACAGAATGCTCTCCGCAATATGCGTCTCTTGAGTGCAATGTTTAGTACTCTCAAAGAAGCAAGGATTGGTTCATTTCATTGTTTTTCCAAATCCACTGTGATTTAGTAATTACATTTTAATCTCAATGCTCTTTCAAGCTGCATATTGAGGAGGCATATTCAACACAAAAGTACAATTTTGATGAAAGCGAAACAACTAATAGTATTGAATAAACCAGTTTGAGTATTATATTTGCACATAATTTGCTATATGTGCGCAACATGACGTTGGATATCAATAAAATCAGAGAAGTTCATTTCTGGAATTAAGTGCCACATTTCAAAAACTTTGGACAGCACAGTGTTTTAACCAGCTTGCAGGCTCCAACTTTTGTGCAGTCAAAAGTTTGCATGGTACTTTTTGACTGGATGGAAAATCCGAGAACTTAGATTTTATTGGCATTTCTGCACATTCATCTCCTTCACAAGGACGCCAGTCGGGTTCTTGTCCAGAATCTGAGAATCAGGCCAAAGCAGCTCAAACATACCTTATTATAGTTTGGAATAAGTCCGTCATTTTAGAAAAAAAAAATGAAAATGCCTGGAATCAGGCTTTTGCCTGAAAATTGGCATCCCCGTCTGGAGCAACAATTGTCAAATTGTATAACGTACGGGGCAGTTGCAAAGACCGAGCTGCAAGGTAGGGAGGAGGACTGTAGTCACCACTCACCGAGAACGTTGACGTTGGCTGTGCCCTTCTCGGTACCAAAGGGGTTAGTCACTGTGACAATGTAGACTCCCGTGTCACTGCGCTGGGCGTCCATGGTGGTCAGCTCAGCCATCTGTAGGTTGCTGCGCAGCTTGGTCCGGTCATCGGGCACCAGCTGCTCTTCATCCAAGCTCCAGGAGGCCTTGGGGGGTGGGGTACCAGTGAAGCTGACGGCCAACTTGATGGTCTGGCCGGCCTTGACTGTCAGGTCCTTCATCTGAGAGACGTCCAGAGAGGGTGGGACTGAAGAGGAGGGAGGTAAGGTGACAGATTTTCAAGAAATTATTTCTTAACAAGCAGTGTTGTCGTCAAGACCCCTTCAGACCATCCCAAGACCTCCAGTCTGATTTCAAGTCACAAGCAATTAAAAAAAACATGCAGCAGAAGTGTTCCTTTGTCATTGTTTACCCTATTAGTCGTGACTGGTCTCGAAATGGTCTAAAACACAGTTAAAAAGCAAGAGTTGGGAGCATATTGAAATACTGCTGGCAGTAAAAGTCGGGAACAGGTTATTTCCATATGTAACCTTTTCCCACTTAAAACTGCCAATGAACAGAGGAGACAAGGAAAAGTAATTACCGTCTCAGAGGTGGGAAGAATGTCCCAGATTATTCAAGATAAAACCGAGAGAATCAGGGAGGGATTGAAAACCTGCTTACTTTCAGGATCCTTGGCCACGACAGGTGGAGACACCACACTGGGCTCGCTCAGGCCCGCCTCGTTCTCAGCCACCACCCTAAACTGGTACTCCTCCCCCTCCACGAGGTCCGGAACCTTGTACTTGGTGTCTTTAGTGGGCCTCTTGTTGACACGCTCCCAGTCGCCCGTCTCCGGGTTTTTCTTCTCTACGTAATAGCCCCTGATTGGGCTGCCGCCATCATCCTTGGGCTTGGTCCAGGACAGGCCCACCGAGTCCTTGGTCACGTCCTCGACAACTGGCTGGCCTGGGGGTAGAGCTGGATCTGTGGGGGGTTGATGGGGAGAGGTTTGAGCAACAGTGGGAAGTGTGGCTCGGGACAGTTCATTACTTCAGGAGGTTTTCAATCTTTCATTCTTGCAAGGTTCCAGACTTTTGTTTAAGTTGCATTAGAAAAACCAAAAGTTAGCCGTTTCTTTTTATTATTATTCATTTTGGCATCCTGAGGAAAATGGACCGAGTATGAGTGAAAAAAGTTGACAGTCTTACTGGTTCACATCGGGCGCGATTCATTTGGAGGACTTAAACTCAAAAGAAGCTCTGGTAACATAAGACTTATTTTGATAGATTGGGTCACATAAGCAGCCACAGCCATTCAGAAGCAGCTTAAACTTTACTGTGTTTAACTTAAACTGTGTTTTTTCTCACCGATTGGCTCCCGTGCCAGCGCAGGCTTGCTGGGGGGGCTCGGTTGGCTCTCTCCGGCCTTGTTGACAGCGATGGTACGGAATTCATAGTTGCCCCCCTGGATCAAGTCCGGCACCTCGTAGCTGGTGCCCTTAATTGGGGTCTTAGTAGCCTTGGACCACTTGGGGGATCCAACCTCCCGCTTCTCAACAATGTAGCCCGTGATCGGGCAGCCACCATCAAATTCAGGTGGGGACCACTTCAGCTCGATGCTGCCATCGTGGGTGTCCACGACCTTAGGTGCGTCCATCTGATCAGCAGGCTCTGAAAAAAAAGTTTGAAAGACAATGAGAAGGGCATTAGATACCGGTAGTTCTCAAGGCTTCCAATAATCCATGGGCTCTGCGCATGAATGAGTGAGGGCACTGTTACTCAGCAACAGATTCCTGGGGCTGACACATAGGTCGAGTTCAGGTGGTCCGTTCTTGACACGGGTTTCGTGTTCTAGCGCTGGAACGGCGGGAACACGACCCAAGAACACTGTTCTCGGAACAGGATCACACACACCACCTCCTCGTCAGGATTTTACACAAACACACGGACAAACTCGTGAGATTTGATTTTTGAACAGCCGCAAAAAGTACCGATGTGGCTTTACAAAACCGAAGACAATGGAAAGTTTTGCAAAATTAGCATTAATAATTTTCCATGACAGAAATGAACTTTTTAAATGGAAAAGAAGTAAGCCCAGTTATCCAACATTAACTCTTGAAGAATGCACAAGGACGCTGCCATGTTGCATGTTGCTTGCCACAAATAACTACTGACGCTAATAACCGGTTGTACATTCCCGGCGTTCGAGCAACCGACCCACGAACAACAAATCAAGCTGTTCGTGAACAAACGAGAACTAGCCGCCTGAACTCAGCCAAAGTGTGCATGCCTTGTTCACATACACATGCTAGAATGACATACTTTCAAATAATAGCAGGCATTCCTATCTTCCTGTAGCCAACAAAATCAAAGATCTCATCCTGCACTGAGAGTACCCTTCCCACTCAGACTTTTGATGATTCATTTGACTGTTCCTCTTAGTTTTGTGACACACATCCCTCACCTCAAAATGCCCCCAAAACTATTTTTCAGAAAGGATGGAACCTTGTGTGGACCTGGGCAAGTTCACACAATGTCTTCCCCATCAGCACTGTGTGGACATCCTTTGTTCTAAAGTCCAAACGAGGAATACTATTGCTTGTTCACAAGCATATTTGACTAACTGTCATCTGACTTACATATCTTATGTTGACAGACCTGATCTTCACAGCAACATTTGAAAAGCAAACTATATTTCTTCGAAACCTTGCCTGATTACAGCAGAATGAGTCTAAAATGTGAAAACACAGGAAAAGGCCTTTTACCAAATGGCTCCTTGGCAACCTGGGTCCGGTCCGTCTGTACAGGTTCACTGGAGCCCACTTCATTCACGGCTGCCACGCGGAATGCATACTCCTTGCCTTCAGTCAGGTTGGGGACAGTGAACTCGGTGGCCGACACGCTGTCGCTGGAAACTGTCCAATCACCACGCTTGACCTCCTTGTACTCCACCACATAGTGCGTGATCTCCGAGTTGCCATTGTCCTTGGGTGGTTTCCAAGTCAGTGACACCGAATGCTCGTTGTAGCCAGAGATTTTGACATTTTCAGGACCTTGCGGCTTGTCTGAATGCAGAAAGTTTAAATTTGATGGCTTTATGAACTTCATCATTGGGAGCTCGGTCACTGATAAAGCATGTGCTAAGGATTTCTATGATATCAAGTTTTAACCTCAGTATAGCCAATTTTCCTCCCACCACTCAAAGCGAACAGGAATTATTCCATCGTGGCCTGTCCTAAAAGCTGTCTTCTGGTCATTACTTTTTGGACTCAGAATTTTTTCCAAATTACTTTCATAACTTGAAGTTAGCTCGGTTCAAAGAGCACCTATGCTTTATTCAAGTGACCCACTGATTCAAACAAGCTTCTGTCAAGTTTATTTGTTTAGCATATTAAACATTCCACTTGGCTGATCCACAACAAAAACAGCAAGTTGACCTACTTTTCTAAGTTGGAATTTAGCTCAAATGGTCAAACAACAACCCGATATTCAGATTGCCCAAGTCTCATATTCCAATCCATCCGGTTTCCTTAACGTTAAACTATACACATGGAAAATCTGCACCTGAAAATCCTACTTATACAGCTTTGAATTAAGCTCCAGTGTTAGAATGCTGGTCAGGTTTCTAACGTGTCTCGGGTTCATACCACGCTAGTGAATTTCCTTGAATATCGTCTATTAAAGTGTCCATTTGGTCAATCTTGGACAAGCCACATAAGCACCCACCGATGACAGTGATTTTGAACTTGGCCGACTCAGTGCCATGCTTGTTGGTGACGCTGACAGTGTAATCGTCTGTGTCATGGCGGTCAGTGTGCGTGATTAGAAGAGTGGCACTCATGGGCATGGTAACCATCTGGGTCCGGTCATCGGGTGCCAGCAAGGCACCGGGCTTAGACCATTCCACTTGGGGTGCAGGGGAGCCTGAGATATCCAGAGTCACCTCCACGGGCTCACCAGCCTTGACGATTAGGTCCTCCATGTCCAGGGGCATCTTGAGGGCGGGTGGAGCTACATTTGCAAAAAACAGGGGAATTACAAAATCTCAACTCACAGGATGAGCTAAAAACCAAATCTGAGGAACAAAATACAAATGCATACACCAAACCTAACAGTATAGTATTTTGAGCATTCACTTACCATAAACTAAAGGACTTGACATTCAGATTGACATTTGTGACCCGCTCTGCCAAAAAGGGTATTAAGGGACGCTGTGCTATTTCACACTAAGGGCTTTTGTGTGGAGAGGGTATTTTTTACTTGTTGGTTTATTGGCTTCTACACAGTACATCAACACATTCACAATTCATTCGCAAGAAACCAAACTGTTGCTAAGGATATTCAAAAGATTTTCTTCTTGGCTGATTTCTTTTCCACTTCCTGAGTTTAAAGGGCTTTATCTCTGACAGCACTTCTGTTAACGTGCATGATACATGGATGATTATGCAAAAATCAGTATATCTCCAGATTGCAAAATGCCATACGGTTCAAACCTACGCCAAATTAAAGCTTATGATGTAACTCACCTTGAAAAAAAGTCCCATAATACCCATTTTTGTGGAGCCAATCACATTTGACAGTACTCGATACTTGACAGCACGACAAACTGAGTACTCACTTACAATGTAGCAACAGATTTGAAATCCAGGTTTGATGTTTGTCTGCACTTGGTTACTGAAAATACTGAGTAGTCACTTAGCTGCCGATCAGAGATTTGACATCAAGATATCTCATAGTAGCTGGTAGTCTTAACCCTTCCTATAAACTCATCCCTATTTTGGAGTTTATTGAGTCAGTTAAATTCTTGCAATTTATTCATTATTTTTCTTTGTTATATCTAGATGAGTTACATACACCGTACATGTACATTGTGAGTTATAATCATTAACAAAATTTGAAAAGAAAATCCAAGTAAGACCCCTTCCTATCAATGGCGGCCATTCTGAACACCAAACTTAAAAAAAGATGCCTTGTTTGGTGGAATTTTGGCACAAATCGAATGAAACAACTTCCTGGGAGACTTTTGAATGTATTACTACAAAATATGACTAATTTCATGACAAAAACCTCAGAAAGCAATTGTATTTATCGTTGTCATAGTAAAAAACTACTCTTATTTCCATAAACTACATAGATATCCAGTAAATAACCATATCTACAAATAATGGAGGTTTGGCGTCTTTTTAACTTCACCCTTCAAAACATAACATTCTAATTCAAAAACGAACTGCACCAATGAGAAGCCAGTCTACAAAGCTACTGTAAATAATGGTACAGAACATGAGTCAAAAGAGGGAAGCAAACACAAAAGACATCACGCTGAAATTTTCCATTGCTGGCAATCAATTTTACATGGGGCTGAATTGAAAGGGTCAAAAGAGTCATATGACAATACTGAGCACTTTCAGATTTGATATCTAGATTTTGACAGTGAACATGCATTTGGTACCTGTCACTCACCCTGGACTTTGAGATTTGACCGGGTGGCTCTCGCCTCGTCCAAAGCACAAGCATAGTTGGCCTCATCCTCAGGAACCACGTCCTTGACGATCAGCTTGCGAGTGTTTCCATCAGCGACCATCTCGTACTTGTCATCATCGTCACCAGGCATGATGGGCTGGCCATTCTTGAACCAGAAGACCTCAGCCTCTGGGCTGGACACTTCCGTGGCAAACTCGGCGTCCTGGTGGGCAAAGGCCTCCACCTCGTCCTGGAGGTTACCAGTGAAATTTGGGGGCTCTGAAACAGGTGAAAACAAAAGATTAGAGACCACAGGCCATCGACAATACTGGACTCTATTAAAATGACATGCTGATCAGTGCCTAACTTCATGGCGCCGCTTTCATGCTTACTTAGCATGAAATTTTGCTTATCGTAAGCACTATTATGTGGCAGTGCTTGACATGGTTGTGGTTGTGCTGACAGTTGCGTGCTGATGGGCATTTCCATTGTTACATCACTAAATTACGCAAATTTCTCCTCTGCGGTAAGTGTTCCTTTTGCTGTAGTTACTGTTTACGATCTCCACAAAATATGCAGAGCCTGTCATTGCATAAAATCATGTGCTTAGCAGTGCCATGAAATTGGGCCCAGTTAGCAGACTTCTGTGCTAAGAGATCCAAATACCTGTGACAGTCAGCTTGGCCTTGGACTCCAAATCCACAAACTTGACGGTGTACTCCCCAGCATCATCGAATGTTGCCTTGTAGATGACTAGCCTACGCACCCCCTTGTCCATCGTGGCGGCCACTCGATCATCCAACTTGACTGGCTTACCATCCTTCAGCCACTTGACCTCTGAGGTGAAGTCTGAAATCTCGCAGGTCAAGGCACAAGGTTGGCTCTCCACCACAGTGACAGGTGACAGGTCCTTGATAAACTTGGGCTTGGCTGGGATAGGCAGATAATGTCACAAATGCAATTTTTACACAGATGAAATAGAAGCATACGGCAGCAAGTTTCTCATCCAGCTACTTCACAAACGGGGCCCTGTTTATGACAATAATTGTGGTCTTAAAAATACATATTACAAGCCATATCAAAGTTCAAGGTCAGATAGTATAAGACTTGACTTGGACAGTAAGACCCTCACATTTGACAGTCAGATCGGCACGGCTGTAGCGGCCAAAGGCACTGATGGCGATTTCACCCTGGTCATCCGGCCTACAGTTCTTGACAATCAGGGTGTGGCGTCTGCCAAGACGCTTGATCTCACACTTCTTGTCACGTGGCGGAACTTTCTCGTTGTTCTTATACCACTGCAGCTCCATGCAGTCGCCTGACAGCTCACAGTTGAACTTAGCATCCTGCCCTTCGTGGACTTCCACAGGTTTCAGCAATGTCACAAAATCCACCTTTGGTTTCCCAGCTACAGAAGAAAAAACAAAAAAAACAAAAAGAGAGAGATTCCTAATTCAAACTCCCACTTTTTGTAACAAGTTCTTTATTGGTTAGTCAGCACTCTGCATGCATTTCAGTTACACATGATGACATGGTGGGTCAAACTAACTGCCCTCTGAAGAACATACTGAGCATGAATATCTTGCTAGAGCAGAGGGCAGGAGACCAGCTGGAAGTCTGTCATAGTTCAACAGGACTTGTTGGCCTGTACCCATTCCATCGTGCTTAACAAATATTCATAGCTGAGCAAAATTTTCCAGTTGGCAGGAGAGTTTCATGAAATTTGAGCAAAAACAGGACTTGTGAATGAGGGCCTGGTGTTCTAAGAAGTGAGAATAAAATAAATATTGACCATCAAGTTGGATAAAATGACTAAGGACACGAAAGGCATATCTCTTTTAAACAAGCCAATATCAAAAATGTAGGCCTAAAGGTCTGAGCAGCACCATCTTGAACAAACCTTGGCCTAATATCCAACTTCAAAACAGGAGGAAATGACAGAGAAGGCAGAACAAGATAATCAATAATTTGCATTTTGTAGGGCTTTTTGTTGGAAGGAAACGCATATGCAGGTTGGAAGTGTGCAGTCAGACAGAAAACAAAATGTGACCATATGAAACTATTGCCTTAGGCCTCATTTTTCAATTATTTTTTAAAGGGTTTGCCTTAAAGAGAGCAAATGGAGCTCTTTTCTATGAATCACTTTAGCTTTGCATGCCGCAGAAAATCATGATTAAGAGTGACAGATGCCAAGGGATCCTACTGAGTTACATTATGCAAACTTCTTTTGAAGGCCTTTGACACAAAAACTGGCTCTGGTTACTTCTGATTCATTTATTAGGTTAGGCCAAATATAACCTTTTCAGGTCAAAAATCTATGCCATGTGCTCATTTTTATTAGGAAAGGAGTGGGAGACTAGTATCTGTATTTAAGAATAGTGGACTGCTAATGACTGGAATTGTACAAGTTTGCATTAATGGAACCTCAAAATAACTAGTATGCACTTCTGTGCAATGGACACGGCAAATTGACTGTGGAGGTGTGGTGACAAGGAAGGATAGAACACCATATTTATGTGTGGATGGTGTGACAAGGAAAATTGGAAATCTCAACATGTGCTAAGGTGCTAACAATGAAATGGGACTTCAAACTGCTAAATACAAAAAAAGTTGACCAAAAGGGTTATACCATTATCAGTGCAGGGGAGATTTGTTTTTCTTTCTTGTTTTTTCCCAAAGAGGAAAGAAACAGAACAAACTGAGTGATGTCAAAGTCACTTCCATGATCAAGTTTTGACACTATTTACTTTCAAACAAGAGTGGAAAATCTACTTTCTATCTGTTTGGGAGGAAAACGTAATGGGGTAAAATGAACAAACTTTGAAAATCATGAATGGAGTGTTATTTATCGTGTGAAAAGGTGAACATAGTAAAGTGAAGAAAACAGTGAAACAGAAAATGAAAACGATGAAGACTTTGAGAAAAGAGTGGGACAAAAATAAGCAAAAAAATGAAAAAGGAACCATCCAGCGGCCATCTTTGTTTTATGTCACATTTAAGTCTCACGACGGAAAAAGGACAGCCTACATCAGATTGATAACAGGCCGAGGATCTAGACAGCCGCTGCATGATTAATCCTGGGGGGGCACAGTTATGTACTTACGTGGAGGGGCGGCTGTATCATTATTAATGATTTGTCATGATTGAGTGAGGTGGATTATGGGAGAGACAGGATTGAGAAAAGAGAAGGAAAAGAGATGAATACAGAAAGAGTCAGAAAAGAATGAAAAAGAAGCGCAACCTAAAAAAAAGTACACTGTAAACATTTCTGATAGGAACAGGAAAAAAGAACAGAGGCTACTCGTACAGATTCCAGACAGAGTGTTCTTTATACATGTACATGAACCCCCAAAAAAGTGGGATGAGTCTTATGCTTGTTTTCAAGTGGATCAAACAGATGTGGAACTCATTGGATAAATCTCACACATAAGTGAAACATTAGTCCTGGCTTGACTGTTGGAGTCCTATTTTGCATTCATTTTGCTGACACTGCAACTTTCAATAACATAATGTTGAACAAAATGATCTTTGTAATGGAACAAATATATCGGTAAATGAAAGAACAGTTCTTCCCCATTGAATTTTTGTCTTTTACTTTCTGGCACACCAAAAAACCTTTACTCAGCCAAGTTCTACATATACAAATGGCGTCAGGAGATGAAATGAAAAGCCCTTGAAAGAAATGAACAGGTTTTTGAGATGGCAACAACAGCGGACGGTGAGATGCTGAGATCTTACATGAACCTTATTTGAGGTGATTTAAAACACAAATATTTACCTGAAGACCAACATACTTTGCATATTCATCATGCAACATGCATATTCAGCAAACACATGCCAATGTCTCTCAGGCAAAGCTGCAAAGGGGAAATGATGAATGCGATATGAATTTACTCCAAAGTGCTCTCAAATTCAAACTTGTCATACCACCCTTGGGGAGCACCCCCTGTGCTACCAATGACGCCACTTCTCTGTCGGTCATGGTTGCCAGGCAACGGTGCACTGTGGTTAAGCAGGCATCATCAGCCAATGGGCACACGGCAAGAAAGGGTGAAGCCAGGCAAAAGTTACAAAGCGCAGGGGACACACAAAGAATTGGACAGAAGCAAAGTAAATTTGCAATTGCCAAGCAATCAACGTCAACATCTGAACAACAAAGCTAGAAAAGCCATAGAAAGAGAAACATTTGAAACGGAACAAGCAATTCTTTCTTAGAGTTTCAAAGCACAAACAAATTTGCTCTGCAAAGAAAACAATTCAAGAGAAAGCAGATTGAAGTGTACACACATATTCTAAGCAAGACTTCCGAACAGGAATTATAAAGAAACTTATAATAAGCAGTATCATATGCAGATTTGCATCACACTGTCAAAATTGTTCAGTCCAGCACAAAATTTTCAGAGACAGCATGCAAGCAAAACAGTTTTCTCCAAAAATGACAGATATGCCAAAAAAGACAGTGCAGAAAACCCTGGAAAGATTCATTAACCCATCTTAATAAAACAAGATTACAAATAAATACCAATGCAACTACATGTAAATGTAGATATGGTACCGGTAGCTGTAACTAAACAACCACAGAGCCATTCCCAAAATGTTTTTAATGCTCTTAAAGTGAAGGAGATCATCACTGCATATTAAGTTCCATCTGCACAAAGCATGAAGTTCAATTTTTCTCAAAATTTGTGTGGCATCAGTAACAGTAACAGAAAATTTGAAATAAGAAATACGGTGAAGCAAATTGCCTTCAAATCGTAACAGGAAAAAGGTGTTGACGAACACAAATCACCCACTAAGCCTTTGCCTGAACCCAAAATTTAATTTGTGTCATGATAACCATCTCCAATGGAAAAACCAGTTCTATTGTTATAGCTAGAATGACCTTAACCTTTGACCTATCAAGTTCAAAATAAAGAGACTTCTAGAGAACACCAAGAGCAAGTTTGAAATTGATATGTCAAGTCTTTCGCAACTCAAGCTATGGTAGGAAAAATGCCTGCATATAATCTCCCTTAAAAGCAGTAACGGCCGAGCAAGCCCACACACACACACAAAAGAAAAGTGTAAACGCACTACCACTGGAATTGTATGGACTCACCATCGACAACTACATTGCATTTGGACTCGGCAAAATCGCCAAACTTGACCGAGTAGTTGCCGCTGTCGGCCACCTTCAGGTCGGTTATGGTCAGCTCATAGTCCTGCAGTGTGCTCTTGATCTTGTATTTCTTGCTGGCCTTAAGCTCCTCACCATCCTTGTACCAGGTGGGTTTGACATCATTGGCCCGACAGCCCACCTCCAGGGTCACGCGGCCGTCCCGCTCATTAACTCGGGTCGACTTTAGGGGCCGGGTGATATCTGCGCCCTGGCAGAAAGATGGGGGGAGGAAATTTTCAGTGTTGAATTGAGTATTTCACAAGAAATTCGCAACAATTTTCGTATATGGAGATTTGTCATTCACCAACTTATAATTGTATAAATATTTATTTGCTGCTTGTTGAGTCGAACCGCACAGCCAACCCTGGCAAGCTGGGTGAGCAGTTTAAGATGTCTGCAGTAGTAAGCAGGAAGTCATGGGTTTGAGCCCCACCCATGCCAGCTTGTAGATTTTTTCACAAGTTGTGCAATAACAGAGTATACCGGTATATAGTTCTAAATATGTCGGTGAAGAAACTCTCAACACAAAAATTAACATCTCCACAATGCAATAATCATTGATCAATAATCACATCTCATTAGAAAGCTTTCACAAAAGCTGTCACAAGTGAAGTGTTGAATTTAAGTATTTCACATGAATTTTTCACCACTTAATACAAGAGCTGTCACAAGTACCTTCAAAAACAGCAGATAAACAATAACAAAGTAAAGTCTTGTTAGAGTTTATATGAAAAGCTTATGACTTTCATAGTCTGTGTCTGCATGCGATATATTCTTGGTTGCAAGAAAATGTAAGCATTATCCTCAGATCACATCACATGAACAGCCAACACTGACCTTTCTGTGAACTCGATATAATCACATAATGCAAAAGTACACTCCAGCTCGGATCAAGAGTATACTCTCACTCATCTGGCGCAGTGGGTTATATTCTTGCTGCTTGTGTACTCAAGAGCGTACTCATCTTAAAATGAGTAAATTACTCAAACGAAACCAGTGAGGTTGGTGTTCTTGTAATGTACTTTTCAGCATTTGCCCTCCAGGGTTAAAACTCATTTTATGGACCCTGTGACAGTAACAGTACTGCATTCCTGCCAGGGCCAAATTTCATCATGGAGCTGTCTGAGGAGAATCTTTTGCTAAGCAGATATCTGTACTAAACAAAAATGAGTAGGGAACCAGTCCCAAGTCTGCATGCCATCAAAGTGACCAGTAATCTGTTTTTGTTCCTGCTTTGCATACTTATAGTTTCTGCACTTAGTACATTTTTGCAATCAGCAGGTGGAGGAAATCACTTACCGCTTTGTCAGGTAAATCCGTGTCCTTCAGGGTGCCCCAGTCTGGTACCTCAATCTTGGACTCGCGTCGCTGTACCTCCCTGAAAAAAAGTACCCAAGCCATTTGGCATTACATCTACAGAGCTTTCTCCAAAAATGATAGAAAAATATCAACACATTGGGGGCCATTCAAAAATTTGTCAGTGTTAGATTTCAACTGTGTTTCCAGTTTTTTCACCCCCCCCATTTTAATTTTAAAAGATTGACTTGCTATCAAACAAAAATCCCAATATAAGCACATACATACATGTATGGACATGCATAGGCATGCCTATGAGGTTCAGTGGCAGTGTGATGGCATAGTTGGTCTAAATGTTTTTTAAGTGTTTATTATACATTAGTACCAGTCTTCAGTTTGATGTCTAGTGCATTAATTCATTATCGCTTGTGTTGTACATAAAGTGAAGCTGTCAACAAGCTTTTAGATACAGGAAGCTACCACATTTACAGGTATCAGAAATCCGTGGTTGTTGTGGTCTTCACATGTTCTGACTTTCAGTGGGAAAACTTCGTATCTGGACTTCAATCCAAAAATTTTGAACTTACCTGTGTCGCAGCAACTGACGGAAATCTAATACATCAGTTTCTGGTTTTTCTGGTGGCAGAAAAAAAAGGACAAAACAGGACTGGATAGTTATCATTAAAAAAGTATATATATGTAGTTATCAGTTGTTGGAAAACTATTAAACAGTGTTGAGCAGCATTTCACTCGTTATTCTTTTCCCATTCAAACGCTGTGTTGAAATACAGTACTTCCACAATTATCTTCATATACCAATCAACAAATTAAGGACAAGGAAATGCAATTCTACAATTATGCTTTTGAAAATTGTCGACAATCTGACAAAAAGAAATGCTGAAGAAATATGAATGGAAGTACTTTGCAACGATGACAGAGGGTAAAAAGGTGGCTGTAATTAACCAGTCACAGATCACCAAGGAGATAATGGGGCCTGACTATCCTTTCAATAACCATTAAATTTCACACTTCCGCTGGTGTCAGAATCCAATTCCTTTTCCTTCTCCTCTAACTTTATAATGAAGTTTATCATTAAAAAGTACTAGTAATGACAATTTCCCCTGGCACAAGAAACAAAGACTTTACACTTTAAAAATGCATAGTATTTCCCAAGCATATGATCCTCTGGCTACCTAATAAAATAATATAAGACTGAAAATTTGAAGAAAAAAAAAAGTATTTTTAAATTTGTATTTGCTTTCTCTAACCAACAATTTCTTTCAAAATATAAATGTGATACATGTAAAAGCTTCAGTCAAATGAACAACTTTGTTCAGAATCCACAACCCCTGGTTTGAATTTCACAAATGAAAATAAATTTCACAGCAAGTTGGAGGACAATGAAGCCTCAGACATAGACAATACGATGTATCCAAATAAAAGTTTTGCCTGTTTGATTTTGAAAACTTAATGGCACACCTTCTTGCGGCGTTTCTTCTGGTTCCACTGGCTCCGGGTTGTCTGTTTTCCAAGGGATGGGCAAAAGTTTGCACGACAGTTTTTCAATAACATCACGCAGGTCTCAGTTTTACAGAAGTTAAAAGTGCAATCTCTTTTGTTTTATTCTGTTACTATTGAGTGAGTTTGAGGCATTTGTTATCCAGCTATCAGGAGTGCTTTGTTTTGCTAAACAACATTAAAATGTGGTGCTAACTAGACTACATGGCTTCCCACATAAAAAATGAAGAGGAAGACTTCTGTGATTTTCCCCCAATGTTTCTATGATCAAAACTGAAGTTGCAAAGTCCTGCAGAGTTACTGAAAGCCTTGGATTCCATGGCTGTCATTAGGTAGCTCTGTGCTTGTCGCGGAAAACTCTTAAAGGAGTGAGGGAAAGTTTTCTGTGACAACTATGGAATATCTTTGTGCAAATCAACAAAATGAACGAATAAGGAATCCTTTTTAACTCTCTTGCCCCATCTACTCATGACAATGCCAAACATTTCTCCCGAACAAATTTCCATAATCTCTCTCGGATAAGGTAAATTCTACATTCTTGTAATTGCCATGAAGATGTTTCCCAGTACAAAACGGAAAAATGTGACAATGGAATTTCCATTTCGGTGCAGTAGACAAAATTGAACCATGGCAGGAATGTTGGACATCGCTCCATGTACATGTCAAAACCTCAAGATGTTGAACAATACTTCCCCTTCAAGATCTTTTCCACAGAAAATTGTCCTTATTTCCTTAGTCACCCCCTTCCTCAACTCAACAAAGACTTCCTCAACCACAGGAATCCTACTGTAAAACTGAGCCCTGGTCTGGGTCATCATGAGGTCGGTGCAACAAAAATTAAAGTGCATCGTGGGGAATGTGTGTGAAGAGGGGAGTGGGGAAGGGAAGAGTGGAAAAAAACCCTTTAAGCCAGTGCAGGTCTACAGAACGGTAATGTGGAAAACTAAAACTGACATGCACAGCTGCAGATTAAGCGTTAAAAAAGGAACTTCATTTTAAACCTTGCAGGTCTCAGCATATCATTATTAATCATTAAATATTTTATCAATCTAACTTTTGTTACTCTACACTCAATTAGACCAATTATGTCAATAATTTAGAAGCTCTTTGTGTTGTCTCCTTATAGTAAAAGTCACATGTACCAGGCCAAGTAAAAACAATATTGCTTTTTACTTCTGCTTTCAAGAAAGCTTACTTTCCTTAATAGAAGTATGCTTTTCAACATGGTGTGCTTTTATATACTTTCCTTTTGGAAGCAATGTTGAAGTATGTTGCTTTTAGAGAACAATAGAATACATTCTCATTTCATTTGCTCAGATTCAAGACCTACTTGGCCCAAACAAGGATGTATATCGTACAAAAAAGTTCCACTCCAAATCCCAATTTTTCTTTCTATTAAGGACGATTTCCACAAATCTTAACCATAACATTCCTGAATCCTCCAATTTAAAAATGATTTTGCACACACCCTAGGGAGTTAGGGTTAAAAAAGTACAGCCTTTTTATCTCCTACACCAACAAACAAAACTCATTTTCACTTGGCCATTACAGCAGTGTTTTGTCGAAGCCAAAACGTTAATAAAAAAGGAACTCAAAGACAACATCTGTGTGATATTAACTGTCACATCCAGCAGCAAATCATTTGCTGATCTAATCTATTTTTAACATCTTGATTAGCCAGGACAGCTGGGTGCAACGGAACATCACTGTATTTTAGTTAAACAGCGTGGCGGTGGTGCAGAAAGTGTCAAAGTTAATTTATGTATTCCCTGAGGATGCTGTTTGATCTGGTCCCATTTCATTTGGTTGGTTCCTGCAGTGTTTCCATGGCAACCAAGTGTTCAATGGAAGCAGGATTTTGGCAAAGTTTTCATGCCAAAGAGCAACAGCCAAAAACTCAACCAAAAAGATGCAAATCTACAAATCAAACAACACCCCCAATGTGTTGAATCATAAGACCTGTTGAGGGAAAACAAGGCAAAATAAAGTGTGAATGTCTCTTCAACTTTGCTTCAGCATCGGCAAAATTGCTTTGTCTCAAGAAGGAAATCTGTGGATTAACTACTTGCATGACTCTTCTCTAGGCCTATTACACGCTATTAAAAACCTTGGCAGAAAAAGCTGTGAAACTTTAGAAGAAAACTTTTGATCTCAAACATTGTAGGACCTGACAAATACGTGTATCTGAATATTAAAGTGCTCTGTATTCCTCACTTATTTTATACTATGTTTATGTAATTAAAGGGCCTTGATATTTAACGAGCATGTCAAGTCAATGCCTACATCACACAAACTCTCACAAAGTACAACCAGCGCAGGCAGTTGTCTGACCCAACTTCAATTCAATGTTGGTTTGCCAGGCAAAATATATTTTTATGAACAAGATATTCAAACTCTGGTGTGTATGCAGAGATTTCTAGTATCGAGGCACCAGTTTATGCCACATTTTTGCCTCTTATGTTGACAAATCTCTTTCCCATAGTTGCCACAAAGGCCATGAAATGGGTGGAGGTTTAATAGAAAATTGGGCACGATATGCAACATTACAAATTGGTTCTCCGAATCTTCAAAAACTAGCAACCCTTTGATTTCTGATGGTAATTTCATCACTTGACTTAATACTAACATTTGGTCCCAAAAGTTCATCCATGCAAACTCTGATCAATAAAGGAATAATTATCCAGTACAAGAAAATCCCTTCTCTACCATTTCCATCTAGTCTTAACATTTAATGTTTTGGAAAAAAAAATAACAGATTCCGCAAATGAAGCGAAAAGTTGGCTATAACATCTGACCTAAAACATTACTCCAATTCATTTAAACAGACTTCTTTGGTCAAAAATGGACAAATTATCAAGGAACCAAACCACCAATCTTAAAATCAGGAAATTCAAAGAAATTAAAAAACCTGATTTTGGTAAAAAAAACCTGATTATTTAATAAACAGATTCAGAAACAAATTATCAAGGAATCAAACCACCACTCTTAAAATCAGG